GCACAATTGAATAGATTCAATCTGACTATGTCTTGTTTGGACTTCTTGTGCTTATTTTTATCCTTTTTTTTATTCTTCTTGGAATGTGTTGTATTTAATATATCTTTATAAATATAATCGTAATTTGGGATCATATGCGGCACTTTTGTTACGTCATAGTTTGGACGATCGATCATTTCAAGATAGTCGAGTGATAAATTGAATTCAAAGCAATGCAGAAGCAATATACAGTTGACCACTGAAACAAGAAGAAGTAGATATAAACATAACATAACATCACGCCTTTTATCCCCGAAGGGGTAGTTTTTTTTTTTAAGGGGGAAAATCATCGAATGACTGCTCCCGCCTGGGTGAGGCGGGGGGGAGTGTCAGACTCTTACTGACTAAAAACCACCCCGTTCCTTCTCCTGCACGTCGAGCCGGAGCCCCGGTAACCCGTTAGGTTCTCCGCGACATCCCCGAAGGGGTAGGCACATTATGGCACTTAATGCCACTGTACAATGTAACACCCACTTTTCACTATTTATGTTATGAGTCCCATGTAATAGGGGGTGAGCCTATTGCCATATACCGGGCACATTTGCAGACTCCTAGCTACTACTGAGATTTTTTAAAACCCAGTAATACTTTGCCCGACCCGGGAATCGAACCCGAGACCCCTTGCCCGGCTGTCGCACTTGCTACCACTTGGCCAACGAGGCAGGCAGCAAGTAGATGTTAATTTAGTCGTAACTTTAAGTAGGTACTCGCAGTTTTATCCGAACTCTCAAATATGCATGCAAAATATCAAGAAGACTGAATAAGACGATCAAGTGCAGCATTACAATTTACGTTAGAATTTACGTTCAGATATAAATCAGAATATATTCTACTATTAGTCTACAGGAGGCCAAATTACCCCCCCCCCCCTTCCTTCCCAATCTCCTCAATCATTGAATCCCAACAATCCTCAAACTCCTAATCCCCAAAAGGTCGGTAGCGCACTTGTAATGTCTCTGGTGTTCCAGGTGTCCATGGGCGGCGCCGATTGCTTACCATCAGGTGATCCGTCTGTTCGTGGCGGTACACTTATCCCATAAAAAGAAAAAAATGACTTATCAGAAGTATCTTAATGCTTCACTGCATCACGCTTCTAGAGACAATTTTCCTTCCGAAGTGAGAGGCAACGTTACGAGATAATTTCCCTGCATTCCCACGAATGCGATAAAAACGGGAATTACCATTCTGTGCGTACGAAGTCACTGGCAGAAGTTCATCATCATCATCATCATCAACAGCCTATAAATGCCCACTGCTGAGCAAAGCCTCTTCTCACCCGGAGAAGGTTTGAGCATTAATGACCACGCTTGCTCAATGCGGGTTGGTGATTTCAAACTTACAATTAGAAATTATAAGCCTAGGTTTCCTTACGATGTTTTCCTTCACCGTTTGTCAGTGGTGTCTGAATAATCTTAGAAAGTACACATTGGTACTTGCTGTTGGTAGGTTTCGAACCCGCACCCTCATGCATGAGAAGTGGGCGTCTTAAACCTCCGGGCCACCACGACACGGCAGAAGTTGGTATTACATAAAAATATGGCATGAGTACTTACACAAAGTGTTCATCGTTTTCGATAAAGAAGTTTTAATTAAAAATAAAGTTGCTCATTTCATTTGCTGTTTTAAAAATATCGCCAGTAAATAAGTCATAATTATTTAAATAACTTTGGATTAATACTTGGCTCCGATCTTTCACGGATTTGCGTACACAAATCAATTTTCTTGAATAATTTTAATTAACCGTGGTTTTTTCTTATTGCAAATTAACACTAACATATTGGAGAATAATTACGTCATAGTAGTCCTTATGTTAAGGTGCTTTTCAAATATGAGAACGCTGGTTCGAAACTTGTACAATGGCCCCACTTCCGCCTGACTACCATTAAGTTAAAGTTTGCTTGCACCAGACGAGATCCGATCTCCAGCCCCGCAATTACAAATTAAAGGCGATTGTAGAAGCTGATAATACACAATCTACGGCTGAATTAGCAGCAGCTTCCGATATTAACATCAAAACAATATTGGTCAATTTGCGTCACTTTGGCAAGGTAAAAAAGCTTGATAAATGGGTGGCCCACGAACTCAATGATCGCCAGTGCAAAGTGCGCATCGAGACGTGCCTTGCACTGCTCCACAGACACACGAATGAAGGTATTTAGAACCGCTTTGTTATCTGCGATGAAAAATGGATTATGTTTGAGAACCGCAAGCGTTCAGCAAATCAACAAGTAGTATGCACTGATTCAGAACCTAAACAATGCCTTAAACAGAAACGTACCCCTAGAAAAGTGATGGTCACTATTTGGTGGTCTAGCGCCGGTGTGATTCATCACAGCTTACCAAACGGGTTGAGCATTACTACAGATGTGTACTGTGAAGAACTGAACACAATGATGGAGAAGCTTGTACATCTCCAACCACCATTGGTCAATTGCTCGTCTCCGCTGCTCGTACACGATGACGCGCGACCTCATACTGCACAGCAGTTGGTCTCCAAGTTCCAAGAACTGGGGTCGAAACATCTCCGTCATCCGCCCTTACCTTGCCTACAGACTACAAATTTTCCAGAACTTGGATAACTTCTTGGCGGGTTAAAATTCAATACTCGAGAGGCAGTCCAGTCCAGCTAAACGCTTTAAGAAAGGTATCGATAAACTGCCACTGCGTAGGCAAAGATGCATTGATTGCATCGGTAATTACTTAAATTAAAAAATAAATGAAAAAAAAATTGTTTTAAATTTTTCATACACAATGGCAACTTCATGGGTATATCTATATCATACCTATTATTATCTATATCATCTAGAATTATATGAAACGGTGTCAAGCAACAGACTTATTTCCTCCCATAACTTAAGTAACATTAAAGTGAAAATTCATAATATAAACAATACGTTTATATTATTAAATTAAAATATAATAATATGTACTCAACAGTAGTAATTGAATATACATATTAATAATTTAACAATTGTACAAATTGTTAGTGTGAAAATTGATTCGATTCAGTGAACTCGTAAAGAATTTTAACATAATAATTTTATTCACTCATTGTCTCAATTATAATGAGAAAAGACCTTACTTACATGACGACTATAATTTCAATATTTCTCTTTAATACTTCACGTAAATAACTACTAGTATTGAATTAAAAATAGTTGAAATGAAATCTATAATTATCATTTTTTTTAAATCAATCTCAATTTCCCATGACAAACGCATCGCGCATGGGCCGACTTTTCTTTATTAGTCAGGGGGAAGTTCATATAGAAGAAATTTTTTGCAAATTTATCGGGAACGTCGGGAAGCAAAGACTGGTAGAGAGCGAATGGTGGTTATTTGGTTACTAATTAAAACCTGCCACTGACGGCACTTAGTACAGTGAAATTATTCAACTATTCCTTCATTTATCATTATCAGCTACCGGCCCATAAAAAGATTTTTTTTTAAAAAAAACCCCATACTAGGATTTTCTCCTGTATCGTGGGTGCGTTTACAAACATACAAGTTCACATATACATGACATCCAAACCCGAAACAACAATTTTTGGATCACACAAAGTGTTGTTCCGTGCGGGAATCGAAGCCGCGACACGTTGCACGGCAGCCGGTTGCCCAGCCACCGCACTAACCGTGCAGTCAAATTGCCTATTGAAGTTTCCTCGATCCCCTAAACACAGTTCAAAGTGGACTCCCTGAGGGGTGAGAGAGGATGTTCATACAAAAGACAGGCTAACCTTGTCCACATTCGGTACCTAAATTTAGATACAGTCGACTACAAAACTTTTCGGTTTTTATAAAGATTTTCATTTAATGAATGCATGCATTAGTCATACGACGCATCGTGAACAGACGTAGGCCTATGTCTCTGCTCGTAGTGACGTCACGCCACGCGGTGTTTCATTAGCGTTAAGGATACAACTAGGGGACAAATGCCCCAAAACATGTGTCGGCAACATGTGGAGCGAAGCCGGCCGATGTCGCCATATATATACGATGACAACTCGCAACTTATATTCATAGTGACGTTGATGTTGCCAGACATATCAACTAAAGTCCGGCAACGTCAACCGACGACGCTAGCGACACATGTCACAGGACATCTGTACCCTAGTGTATATTTGGCTTTACGATACATAAATATACCTCTAATAGTTACCGTGGAAAATTTTAATTCCGTAATAATACAAAATTAGAATTAATCTATCAGACTGACATTAAAATAAAATTCAGTTAACATCCCCATATAGAGGTATATCGTCACGTCTAGTGTGCACGAAAGGGTTTGAAGAAGTGCACATTATGGCAAGTGGTGCCACTGTACAGTGTACATACTTACTTACCCACTTTTCACCATTTAAGCTAAAATTACCTTGTAACAAGAGGTGAGCTTATTGCTATATACTTGTACTTTTATCAGAAGAAAAAATGTCAACATTAAAAATACAAGAAGCTCTTATTTAACTTTAAAAATGTTTCATGAATTTCTATTGTGATCTCGTTGTTAAAAAGAAAATCATAGCCCCTTTTGACTTTTTTATATCGTAGATACATTTACAATCTTACAAGTCAATTGCACTCAGAACCGCAACAACAATTTGTAGATCATACAAAGAATTATTATTAAGTACGGGCATTAACCCCGAAATACTTTACTCGCCAACTGCACCAGCCGAGCCATCTTGTTATTTTTTATGTAGTAGAGGTATATAGTAATTGTTATGGAATGCCTACTCAAATAACCATGATCATTATGTATTTTTTTAATTTAATTTAATTTTGATTATTTAACTCTTAATTTATTTCGATACCACATAACATCATTCATAGTTGGTGGTGCAACCAATCATGACATTTATAATGAGATATTACCGGAACTAATATCAAATAAATCTATGAGTACGTACTATTCGTCACATTTACTTTTAATTATAGATATCCGCCACTAATTGCTTGTACATTATTGCAAATCTGTAATATAATATGTTCATATAATTACCCATTAATTATAAATTAGCTTCAGATGAAAATTGTACATGATTCTTTATTCAATGGCATTCTTTCGACAAATGTCGGCTAGAACATGGGAATCGGACCACGTAAGTCCAAATGTTTAATGAAACCTTTTAGGGCACTGTTCATTTCGGACAATAATTTTTCTTTTGGATAATGATTACTATGGTTATTATTTCTCTGTTTCAGTATTTTGGTGGTTAATAATATTTCAATACAGTGGTGGCATTGATTCAGTGTCATGGGGTAATTACCCCGGCTTACCCCGACTGAGCAAAACAGAACATCACACGTTACTGAGGCAAAGTTTGCTTCGTAACTTACCCTTTAAATGGAAACTACGTGAAGGCAATGACAATTCAGAACTCAATCCACAACTTTACAGTAATTATCGATCAATTTCCTCGACCAGCCCTCCACCAGCGGTAGAATCAAGATTTTGGCCAGAAACAGCTCTAAACTATGTAAAGGACAAATTAGCAGGCTGGCTAACTAAAGAAGACAAACCGGGAACCACCCCAGCCGAAGTTGCCAAAACACCTAGCCCCACAACCCCTAGCCCCACAACCCCTAGCCCCACAACCCCTAGCCAAGAACAACAAGGATCTAAGGAAATACAAGGTAATGATACAATTGAAAAAAATGTAGATAACAGTATTGAAACGTCATATTCAAATGATATATCGAATCTCTGTGAAAAATCATTAGGTACCGAACTTATAATGATTTTCTGCTCGACTAATATTGAATTTTCACCCGAAGATGTACAGTCGATGATGTGTAGTGAAATGATTGCATCTGTATACGAGGCCATCTATTGCTCAGAAGATCTCGTACGCTTTTTATTTAATTTAGTGTCAGAAAATATTGAAGTCCCAACGCATCCAGGAGACCACTCATCATTATACCTGACAATAGAGGAACTTATGTGTAAAGAAGTGAGTGAAACGATATACGGAATCTTTTACTGCCCCTTAGAGGGCGATTTGCATTCTTCAACTTTGAAATATGTTGAAAGAATCATACCTGCCGATGTACGTAAGCCAACGCCACAGGAAATGCGTAACATGATGTGTGAGAAAATGAGTGGCAGTATATACGAAATATTCTTTTGTTCACAATTAGAGACGCCTGATTTACAGTCGAATGAAACTGCTGAAACAACAGATGTAGACGTTAACATATATACTACTACACCATCAAACTATGAAACTAGTATCACTTATAATACTCTTCAAATCGAAGTTATAAAATCGAGAGAAAAAATGTGTCAGATGGCATTTGGAACCAATTTTGAAAACTTATTTTGCACAATAGATACAGAAATGCCGGAACCCGAAGACGTCCGAATATTGATTTGTGAAGAAATGCGTGAATCCATATACAAAGCTATCTTTTGCCCATCACCAGATGATATACTTAATTCAATTTCAGAAACGACCACTAGCATTTCTTTACAAACGCATGCACGAAATCGCACGCAAATATATATGTACATAGAGAATCTTCTTTGTGCAGAAATGGGAGAAACAATATACGAAATCATTTACTGCCCCCGAAACGACGATTTGTATTCTGCAACTCAGGAATATGTTGTAAGAGATATACCTATAGACGTACCTAGACCAACGCCAGAAAAAACGAGTAAATCGATATGTGAGAAAATGATTAAAATAAATGACTGTATATGCAAAATGTTATTTTGCTTAAAAACAGAGACGCCCGATTCGCAGTCGAATGAAAGTGACGACACAGATTTAGACGTTAACACGTATACTACCTCACCATCAAACTACGAAACTGGTACCACTCCTCACATGATTGATGATGACCATAGTACCATTTATAATACTACTCTTCAAATCGAAGTTATAAAATCGAGAGAAAAAATGTGTCAGATGGCATTTGGAACCAATTTTGAAAACTTATTTTGCACAATAGATACAGAAATTCCGGAATCCCAAGACGTCCATACATTGATGTGTGAAGAAATGGGTGAATCCATATACAAACCCATCTTTTGCCCATCACCAGATGATATACATAATACAATTTCAGAAACGACCACTAGCATTTCTTTACAAACGCATGCACGAAATCGCACGCAAATATATATGTACATAGAGAATCTTCTTTGTGCAGAAATGGGAGAAACAATATACGAAATCATTTACTGCCCCCGAAACGACGATTTGTATTCTGCAACTCAGGAATATGTTGTAAGAGATATACCTATAGACGTACCTAGACCAACGCCAGAAAAAACGAGTAAATCGATATGTGAGAAAATGACTAAAATAAATGGCTGTATATGTAAAATTTTATTTTGCTTTAAAAAAGTTACGCCCGATTCGCAGTCGAATGAAAGTGGCGAAACAGATTTAGACGTTAGCACATATACTACACCATTAGCCTATGAAACTAGTACCACTGAATTAGAATCGCAAGAAACAATGTGTCAGATGGCATTTGGAACCGCGTTTGAAATCATATTTTGCCCAAAAGCTGAAGAAATTGAACCCGAAAAAATGCAATCATTGATGTGTAAAGATATGCAGGCATCTATATACGAAGCCATCTTTTGCCCATCACCAGGTATACTTAATATCATTTCAGAAATTACCAATAGTATTATTATAACAACGCATTCACGAAATCACTCCCAAATATATATCTATATAGAGAACCTTCTGTGTGAAGAAATGAGAGAAACAATATACGAAATAATTTTTTGTCCACGAAACGACATGCATGATACTAGTGTAGATGTAATTTCGAGATCAATACCTCCAGAAATATCCAGATTAAAACCGAATGAAATAAAAAAACAATTATGCGACAAAATGTATGGAACAATATACGAAGATATTTTTTGTATTAACATTTTAGAGACTTTTACTTTACTGCCAGGGACTGAAATAGACACTGAGCCTTCTTTCACTGAAATTGTTACTGATCCTTCTATTCCTGAAATTTCGCTACTAAATAACTTATCAATTGAAAATATGATGTGTATAAAAAAAACTACAAATGATGATTCAATTATTGAGTATGACTGCCCAACGCCTAATGATTTCGGGTTGTCAAATACGGAAGTACAAAATTTGATGTGTCAAGAATTGACTGGTACCATATACGAGGCGATTTATTGCACAACGGATACTATATATAAATTAATTTTTAATATTACAAAAGAAGTCTATATAGTAACGATTACAAATGAAAGAAAAATCAATACGACATACGGAATCAAAATACAGAACACTGTGTGCGACTTAACTCTAGGAACCATATTTGAAATTCTTTTCTGTCCACGTAATGGAGATATCTACGATACTACTAGAGACAAGATTCGAAGGATTATCCCTGATGACATAATTAGGCCGGAACCGGGACAGCTAAGAGAAATATTATGCGAAATGATGAGAGGTACAGAATACGAAAATATCTTTTGTCTAACAGAAAAAATTCCTACACCAACAACCGAAACAGGTTTATCAACAAATCTAACGCCGGAAACATCTGAAGAAGAAACTCTGACATCAACGGTTGACGGTACTGAGCAACATCCAACTATGGAAATTCAGACACCAGCGGTTGATTGCACTGAGGAACCAACAACCGAAGCAATTCAAACACCAGCGGTTGATTGTACTGAGCAATTAACAACTAATGAAACTCAGACACCGATAACTGCAGAAACTCAGACAATAATGGTTGATTATACTGAGGAACGAACAACTGAAGAAACTCAGACACCAACAGTTTACGGTACTGAGAAACAAACAACTGAAAAAGCTCAAACAACAACGGTTGATAATACTGAGCAATTAACAACTGAAGAAACTCAGTCACCGATAACTGCAGAAACTCAGACAATAACGGTTGATTATACTGAGGAACGAACAACTGAAGAAACTCAGACACCAACAGTTTACGGTACTGAGAAACAAACAACTGAAAAAGCTCAAACAACAGCGGTTGATTATACTGAGCAATTAACAACTGAAGAAACTCGAACACCGACCACTGCAGAAACTCAGACAATAACGGTTGATTTTACTGAGGAACGAACAACTGAAGAAACTCAGACACCAACAGTTGACGGTACTGAGAAACAAACAACTGAAAAAGCTCAAACAACAGCGGTTGCTTATACTGAGCAATTAACAACTGAAGAAACTCAGACACTATCAATTCATGGTGTTGAAGAAACAACACCTAAAGTAATAACCCAAAAGACAACAACCAAAAATAGAAATCAAAACTGCATAAAAATTTACAATTCGACTACTGGCAAGATATCTTGCTACTCAACTTCTCACACAACACAGGCATCAACACTTAAAACTACCAAGAAACCAAAAACTAACGATACAACCAAAAAAATACCTAAAAAAACAACTAAAAGAACAACTAAAAGAGCGACTAAACAAACCCAAGAACCAATTGTTGTTGTTACTAAGGAACCCATACCTGAAGAAACTGAGACATCCGCGAGTGATAGTACTGAGGAACCAACAACTGAAGAAACTCAGACATCCGCGAGTAATAGTACTGAGGAACCAACAACTGAAGAAACTCAGACAGCGACAACTGCAGAAACTCAGAAAATAGCGGTTGACTGTACTGAGGAACAAACGACTGAAGAAATTCAGACGCCAACAGTTGTCAGTACCGAGGAACCAACAACTGCAGAAACTCAGACACCAACAGTTGTCGGTACCGAGGAACCAACAAACGGAGAAACTCTAACACCAACAGTTGTTGGTACTGAGGAACCAACAACTGGAGAAACTCAGACAATAATAGTCGATTGTACTGAGGAACCAACCACTGAACCAGTTCAGACTACAACAGTTGTCAGTACTGAAGAACCAACCACTGAACCAGTTCAGACTACAACAGTTGTCAGTACTGAAGAACCAACCACTGAACCAGTTCAGACTACAACAGTTGTCAGTACTGAGGAACCAACAACTGAAGAAATTCAGATCCCAACAGTTGTCAGTACCGATGAGCCAACAACTGAAGAAATTCAGACAATAATAGTGGATTGTACTGAGGAACCAACCACTGAACAAATTCAGACTACAACAGTTGTCGGTACTGAGGAACCAACAACTGAAGAAACTCAGACAATAATAGTCGATTGTACTGAAGAACCAACGACTGAACAAATTCAGACTACAACAATTGTCGGTACTGAGGAACCAACAACTGAAGAAACTCAGACATCAACAGTTGTCGGTACCGAGGAGCCAACAACTGAAGAAACTCAGACAATAATAGTCGATTGTACTGAAGAACCAACGACTGAACAAATTCAGACTACAACAGTTGTCGGTACTGAGGAAAAAACAACTGAAGAAACTCAGACACCAACAGTTGTCGGTACCGAGGAACCAACAAACGGAGAAACTCTAACACCAACAGTTGTTGGTACTGAGGAACCAACAACTGGAGAAACTCAGACAATAATAGTCGATTGTACTGAAGAACCAACGACTGAAGAAATTCAGATCCCAACAGTTGTCAGTACTGAGGAACCAACAACTGAAGAAACTCAGACACCAACAGTTGTCGGTACCGAGGAACCAACAAACGGAGAAACTCTAACACCAACAGTTGTTGGTACTGAGGAACCAACAACTGGAGAAACTCAGACAATAATAGTCGATTGTACTGAAGAACCAACGACTGAAGAAATTCAGATCCCAACAGTTGTCAGTACTGAGGAACCAACAACTGAAGAAACTCTGACACAAACAGTTGTCAGTACTGAGGAACAAACAACTGAAGAAACTTACACACCAACATCCGACAACACTGAGGAACCAACAACTGAAAAAACTCAGACATCAACAGTTGGCGGTACTGAGGAACCAACAACTGGAGAAACTCAGACAATAATAGTCGATTGCACTGAAGGACCAACGACTGAACAAATTCAGACTACAACAGTTGTCGGTACTGAGGAACCAACAACTGGAGAAACTCAGACACCAACAGTTGTTGGTACTGAGGAACCATCACCTGAAGAAATTCAGACTACAACAGTTGTCAATACTGAGGAACCAACAACTGAAGAAACTCAGACACCAACAGTTGTTGGTACCGAGGAACCAACAACTGGAGAAACTCAGACACCAACAGTTGTCAATACTGACGAACCAACAACTGCAGAAACTCAGACAATAATAGTCGATTGCACTGAGGAACCAACCAATGAACCAATTCAGACTACAACAGTTGTCAGTACTGAAGAACCAACCACTGAACCAGTTCAGACTACAACAGTTGTCAGTACTGAAGAACCAACCACTGAACCAGTTCAGACTACAACAGTTGTCAGTACTGAAGAACCAACCACTGAACCAGTTCAGACTACAACAGTTGTCAGTACTGAAGAACCAACCACTGAACCAGTTCAGACTACAATAGTTGTCAGTACTGAAGAACCAACCACTGAACCAGTTCAGACTACAACAGTTGTCAGTACTGAGGAACCAACAACTGAAGAAATTCAGATCCCAACAGTTGTCAGTACCGATGAGCCAACAACTGAAGAAATTCAGACAATAATAGTGGATTGTACTGAGGAACCAACCACTGAACAAATTCAGACATCAACAGTTGGCGGTACTGAGGAACAAACAACTGAAGAAACTTACACACCCACATCCGACAACACTGAGGAACCAACAACTGAAAAAACTCAGACATCAACAGTTGGCAGTACTGACGAACCAACAACTGCAGAAACTCAGACAATAATAGTCGATTGTACTGAAGAACCAACGACTGAACAAATTCAGACTACAACAGTTGTCGGTACTGAGGAACCAACAACTGAAGAAATTCAGACTATAACAGTAGTCGGTACCGAGGAACCAACAACTGGAGAAACTCAGATACCAACAGTTGTTGGTACTGAGGAACCATCACATGAAGAAATTCAGACTACAACAGTTGTCAATACTGAGGAACCAACAACTGAAGAAACTCAGACACCAACAGTTGTTGGTACCGAGGAACCAACAACTGGAGAAACTCAGACATCAACAGTTGTCAATACTGACAAACCAACAACTGCAGAAACTCAGACAATAATAGTCGATTGCACTGAGGAACCAACCACTGAACCAATTCAGACTACAACAGTTGTCAGTACTGAAGAACCAACCACTGAACCAGTTCAGACTACAACAGTTGTCAGTACTGAGGAACCAACAACTGAAGAAATTCAGATCCCAACAGTTGTCAGTACCGATGAGCCAACAACTGAAGAAATTCAGACAATAATAGTGGATTGTACTGAGGAACCAACCACTGAACAAATTCAGACTACAACAGTTGTCAGTACTGAGGAACCAACAACTGAAGAAACTCAGACACCGAAAGTTGTCGGTACCGAGGAGCCAACAACTGAAGAAACTTACACACCCACATCCGACAACACTGAGGAACCAACAACTGAAAAAACTCAGACATCAACAGTTGGCGGTACTGAGGAACCAACAACTGGAGAAACTCAGACATCAACAGTTGGCGGTACTGACGAACCAACAACTGCAGAAACTCAGACAATAATAGTCGATTGCACTGAGGAACCAACCACTGAACCAATTCAGACTACAACAGTTGTCAGTACTGAAGAACCAACAACTGCAGAAACTCAGACAATAATAGTCGATTGTACTGAAGAACCAACCACTGAACCAGTTCAGACTACAACAGTTGTCAGTACTGAAGAACTAACCACTGAACCAGTTCAGACTACAACAGTTGTCGGTACTGAAGAACCAACCACTGAACCAGTTCAGACTACAACAGTTGTCAGTACTGAAGAACCAACAACTGCAGAAACTCAGACAATAATAGTCGATTGTACTGAAGAACCAACCACTGAACCAGTTCAGACTACAACAGTTATCAGTACTGAAGAAACAACCACTGAACCAGTTCAGACTACAACAGTTGTCAATACTGAGGAACCAACAAATGCAGAAACTCAGACAATAATAGTCGATTGTACTGAAGAACCAACCACTGAACCAATTCAGACTACAACAGTTGTCAATACTGAGGAACCAACCACTGAACCAGTTCAGACTACAACAGTTGTCAGTACTGAAGAACCAACCACTGAACCAGTTCAGACTACAACAGTTGTCAGTACTGAAGAACCAACCACTGAACCAGTTCAGACTACAACAGTTGTCAGTACTGAAGAACCAACCACTGAACCAGTTCAGACTACAACAGTTGTCAATACTGAGGAACCAACAACTGCAGAAACTCAGACAATAATAGTCGATTGTACTGAAGAACCAACCACTGAACCAGTTCAGACTACAACAGTTATCAGTACTGAAGAACCAACCACTGAACCAGTTCAGACTACAACAGTTGTCAATACTGAGGAACCAACAACTGCAGAAACTCAGACAATAATAGTCGATTGTACTGAAGAACCAACTACTGAACCAGTTCAGACTACAACAGTTGTCAGTACTGAAGAACCAACCACTGAACCAGTTCAGACTACAACAGTTGTCAGTACTGAAGAACCAACCACTGAACCAGTTCAGACTACAACAGTTGTCAGTACTGAAGAACCAACCACTGAACCAGTTCAGACTACAACAGTTGTCAGTACTGAAGAACCAGCCACTGAACCAGTTCAGACTACAACAGTTGTCAGTACTGAAGAACCAACCACTGAACCAGTTCAGACTACAACAGTTGTCAATACTGAGGAACCAACAACTGCAGAAACTCAGACAATAATAGTCGATTGTACTGAAGAACCAACCACTGAACCAGTTCAGACTACAACAGTTGTCAGTACTGAAGAACCAACCACTGAACCAGTTCAGACTACAACAGCTGTCAGTACTGAAGAACCAACAACTGCAGAAACTCAGACAATAATAGTCGATTGTACTGAAGAACCAACCACTGAACCAGTTCAGACTACAACAGTTGTCAGTACTGAAGAACCAACAACTGCAGAAACTCAGACAATAATAGTCGATTGTACTGAAGAACCAACCACTGAACCAGTTCAGACTACAACAGTTGTCAGTACTGAGGAACCAACAACTGCAGAAACTCAGACAATAATAGTCGATTGTACTGAAGAACCAACCACTGAACCAGTTCAGACTACAACAGTTGTCAGTACTGAGGAACCAACCACTGAACCAGTTCAGACTACAACAGGTGTCAGTACTGAAGAACCAACCACTGAACCAGTTCAGACTACAACAGTTGTCAGTACTGAAGAACCAACCACTGAACCAGTTCAGACTACAACAGTTGTCAGTACTGAAGAACCAACCGCTGAGCCAGTTCAGACTACAACAGTTGTCAGTACTGAAGAACCAACTACTGAACCAGTTCAGACTACAACAGTTGTCAGTACTGAAGAACCAGCCACTGAACCAGTTCAGACTACAACAGTTGTCAATACTGAGGAACCAACAACTGCAGAAACTCAGACAATAATAGTCGATTGTACTGAAGAACCAGCCACTGAACCAGTTCAGACTACAACAGTTGTCAGTACTGAAGAACCAACCACTGAACCAGTTCAGACTACAACAGTTGTCAGTACTGAAGAACCAACCACTGAACCAGTTCAGACTACAACAGTTGTCAGTACTGAGGAACCAACAACTGCAGAAACTCAGACAATAATAGTCGATTGTACTGAAGAACCAGCCACTGAACCAGTTCAGACTACAACAGTTGTCAGTACTGAAGAACCAACAACTGCAGAAACTCAGACAATAATAGTCGATTGTACTGAAGAACCAACCACTGAACCAGTTCAGACTACAACAGTTGTCAGTACTGAGGAACCAACCACTGAACCAGTTCAGACTACAACAGTTGTCAGTACTGAAGAACCAACCACTGAACCAGTTCAGACTACAACAGTTGTCAGTACTGAAGAACCAACCACTGAACCAGTTCAGACTACAACAGTTGTCAATACTGAGGAACCAACAACTGCAGAAACTCAGACAATAATAGTCGATTGTACTGAAGAACCAACTACTGAAGCAGTTCAGACTACAACAGTTGTCAGTACTAAAGAACCAACCGCTGAGCCAGTTCAGACTACAACAGTTGTCAGTACTGAAGAACCAACCACCGAACCAGTTCAGACTACAACAGTTGTCAGTACTGAAGAACCAACCACTGAACCAGTTCAGACTACAACAGTTGTCAATACTGAGGAACCAACAACTGCAGAAACTCAGACAATAATAGTCGATTGTACTGAAGAACCAACCACTGAACCAGTTCAGACTACAACAGTTGTCAGTACTGAGGAACCAACAACTGCAGAAACTCAGACAATAATAGTCGATTGTACTGAAGAACCAACCACTGAACCAGTTCAGACTACAACAGTTGTCAGTACTGAAGAACCAACCGCTAAGCCAGTTCAGACTACAACAGTTGTCAGTACTGAAGAACCAACCACTGAACCAATTCAGACTACAACAATTGTCAGTACCGAGGAATCAACAACTGCAGAAACTCTAACACCAACAGTTGTTGGTACTGAGGAACCAACCACTGAAGAAATTCAGACTACAACAGTTGTCAGTACTGAGGAACCATCAACTAAAGAAACTCAGACACCAACAGTTGACGGTACTGAGGAACCAATAATTGTAGAAACTCAGACACCAGCCGTTGATTGTACTGAAGAACCAACAACTGAAGAAACTCAGACACCAACAGGTGGTAGTACTGAGGAACCACCAACTGAAGAAACTCAAACACCAACAACTGCAGAATCTCAGACAATAGCCGTTGATTGTACTGAAGAACCAACAACCGAAAAAACGCAGACACCAGATCTTAGTGGTACTGAGCTACCAACAACTGAAGCAACTCAGGCACCAACATCTGATTGTACTGATAAAACCCAGGCACTAGATGTTGATGATTCTAAGGAAGCAACAAGCGAAGATGACGAACCTGAGTCATCAGACGCTGACGATGAAGAGATCATATATTCTCAAGAAATTGAGTTGCCAGCGTGTGGTTGTACCGAGAAAAAAATACCTAAAGAAAGTCATGCACCGGTGACTGAAGGTTTTTTATTTTTTTTTACGTATAATGGACATTTTAATAATTTTTTTATACTTTTGAACAGACGTAATACATGTTGACATGAAATGTAATGATAAGATTGATATTTTACTGGTTTGTATGATAATGATGCGACGAAGTTTTGGTCTAATCTAAAAAAAAAGCTTTCTTATAATAATTTGTATGTCAATTGACAAAATCATAGTACACACAGTACAATACACAAGATCTTAAAAATTAGGCAGTGCACCTAATTTTTAAGATCTTGTGTATTTATTATTTTATGATTATCACCAATGTTTACGAATAAATTATTATTGTTTGATTTGTAGGTACTGAGGAACTTACAACTGAAGAAACACAGACACCAACAGTTGACGGTACTGAGGAACCAACAACTGCAGAAACTCAGACACCAGATGTTAATGATACTGAGGAACCAACGACTGAAGCAACTCAGACGCCAAATGTAGACGGTACTATGGAACTAACCACTGAAGACACTCATACACCAGCGGTTGATGATACTGAGGAACCAACGACTGAAGAAACTCAGACGCCAGATGCTGACGGTACTGAGGAACCAATAACTGAAGAAACTCAGACTGCAGCGGTTGATGATGCTAAAGAACCAATAACTGAAGAAACTCAGACAACAGCGGTTCATGATACTGAGGAACCAATAACTCAAAAAGATCAAAAACAAATCCAATCTACTAAAAAACCAAATACAAAGAATTGCACAAATAAGAAGAAGAAAAAGAAGAAGAAGAATAAAAAAAGGAAGAAGAAAAAGAACAAGAAGAAAGGGGATTGTTGCGATACATTATTAGATTTACCTAAACTATATAAATTATTGTTAAAACTTGTTTCCAAGCCTTGCAAGGATAACAGGCGACCTCATAAATCAAAACATAAGCATGGAGCACACAAACCACATCATTTTCATATTCATCATCATTTTTACTTTGAAAATGCTCCTGAATACTTTCGACATCATCCAGCGCTCTCCTCTGAAGGCAAGTCTGTATCAGCCGACGATAAGGAATAAGGTATGGTATACGGTATAGTTATGGCAAAGGCATACAACTAAATGAAGCTAATGATACTTCAACAAGCCACCATATTATATGTAGGTACGTGCAAACTGGAAACAACATGAGCAGGAACATACCTGAATACTAATAGAAGAAACAAACCTGAGCGGAAACGTAATTTCGATGACATAATTATTATATTTAAAATATTCTAATAATGCCATTGTCACGTTGTGTATATACTGAAAACAATAAATATTAAAAAATAAAATATTAAAATATTAATCTTTGTTTATTACTTGTTCATAAAAATTGTTACATTTTGTAGAACAGGGTTAATTGAAACCAAAACTTTCGAGAGATATTGTGGTAAATTTGTTTTTTTTTAGTAAGAATTTTCATCCAATGTCTTGTCCCACCTTGGGTGAGGCAAGAGGGAGTGTCAGACTATTACTGACTAAAAACCACCCCGCTCCTACTCCTGCTCTTCAAGCCGGAGACTCAGTAACAGTAACCCGTTAAGGACCTGTTCGCGTAGCGATATTACATAGTGAGGTTTTATTCTGGCGTATCAATTATATTCTGTAATCGAAATTACACCTAGTACGTACTGCGAATTAAATTTAGAACGATTTTTGTCAGTTGTGATTCAGTTTTCGGCTGAGGCGCAAGTCTGAAATGAACCACCGAACTAAAATTTTAATTTATCTTTTATATTACCTAAGGCTGCGTAACAGACATAAGACTGTATAACTGTAATACGTTTATGTATATTCAAAAATTAACTAAATTTATATATTTCGTTCATTTAGTATGACTCACGATAGATATTATAAAAACATAGCTACTAGAAACGTTTGAAAACATCCGAACTAGGACAATAAAATAAGATATAGGTATTGTCGAAGGAGGCTATGATATTAGAGAAAAGTTTAAATTTATGTTTATTTGCATGTTATGTTAAAGTAAATATTAGTTAATAAATCATCTCGTTGATCTATTTATAACTAGATATGCAATATTAATATACAGTACTAAAAGTAGCACTAATCCAAATTTATAGAGGAATTTTATTAAACTTACAGAATTATTGTCGTGGTGGCCCGGAGTAAGCCTCCGGACGTCCGCCTCTCATATTTGAGGGTGCTGCTTCGAAACTTACCAACGGCAAGTACCAATGTGACTTTTCCCGAGTTATGTGTACTTTCTAAGATATTTAGACACCACTGACAAACGGTGAAGGAAAAGATCGTGAGGGAACCTGGGCTTATTATTTCTAATTTTAAGTTTGAACTCACTAACCCGCATTTAGCAAGAGCCATGGTGATTAACCCGTCGTGTGTCTAAACGTGGATCCACGCGAGACACAATGTCTTTTTTTATAGCATAAGCCAGTAAACGAGCAGACGGATCACCTGATGGTAAGCAATCGGCGACATCTGGAACACCAGAGGCGTTACAAGTGCGTTACCGGCCTTTTGGGGATTAGGAGTTGGAGGATCGTTTGGGATTCAGAGATTGAGGAGATTAGGGAAGGGGAGGGTAATTAGGCCTCCTTACCGGAGACCCAATTACCCTCCCCTTCCTCACACGAAGAAACACAACATTTGTGCCGAAGTATGGCTCTCCCACACTTATTTTGTATTTTCTATTGTGTCTCATATCGGTGCATTCAAGCGGTTAATGTTCAAACCTTCTCCGTGTGAGAAGAGGATTAGCTCAGCTGTGGGCATTTATAGGCTGTTGGTAATGATGATGATTACAAAGTTAGAGGAATAGTTAAGCCGTAGATAAAATGTACATATATGTATAGATAGAGATACATAGATGAGCCTAGCGCACTCGCTTCTCGTTTCGTTCCCAAACGTCCATTATGCCGAGGCACATAGCACAAGTTTCTCTGCATACTGAATGAGCAAAATCTCTGCTATTATCCAATACTGAACAAACTTGCATTTCAACACCGAGTGCTTTCAGTTTTAATCTTTGTTGAAACAAAAACAAATAGAATAATCAGGCGACGATTTTCGTTTCGATATTTCTTTAGAAGTCGGATGCATTTCTTGAAACGTTTGCGTTTTAAAATAAACTTTATTATATGAGTATCTAAGACCTTTTTTTATTAAAATATGTTTCCTAAGTGAATCACAAACACATTTTTAGAAATGCGACCTCACAAATAAGTTTAGGTTTCACCCAATTCTAAGAAATCTATGTCAATGTATTTAAAACTAGCAACTTCCACGCGGTTTCACCCGCTCTGCTCGGCTCCTATTAATAGTAGCGTGATGTTTTATAGCCTATAACCTTTCAGACTGTTAGTTCTTGAGATTAGCGTGATAAGACAAACAAACCAACTCTTCAGTATGTATAATAAATAATAGTATAAGATATATTTTGTTAAATGGAAATAAGTAAATTAGACACTAGAAAGTCGTCAACAAGAAGATTTAGGGATCTACTAAAAATGACCTCTAAGGGTACAGAAAGGATTCGGTGAAAAATATTTGTGATTTTCCTCCTGACGATTGGATTTAAAACGCCTTCATTTATTAAATTGAACAGTATTTGTACGCCTGTGCAAAAGAGTGAATACTGATTGAAATCCCTTCTGATATTTATTCTGCATCTAAAATTGTTCAATTTTATTTAAATTCAAATCAAGCGGTTTAAAGGTAGTGTAAAAGAAATTCTTATAAATGTTAAGGTTTTATATTGAAGTAATATAAAATTGAGAGAAATTTTCTGTTTAGAAGTCGGTATGTAGTAAATAAGACATGCACTCCACAATTTGTTAACATTAAATTTAATGCCATCTTCAAAATTGTAGGTAACCGTCGTAAGAACAAAATAGAATAGAATACACATAAAGCTACTCCAAATCATTTTTATTCGATTTGGAACTCTATTGTTTTATTATACAGTCAAAAGTTGAGATATAGTAAGTTTTTCGAAACGATAGGAATATAGAGGTAGATAGAAAGAAAAGATGACAAGAACTACATTTATTTTCAGCTGTAGTATTTAATTTTGAACGCCATGGCACCACCTATCAATGCTCCGATGCCCACTATCTTCAAAAATTTCTTTAGTACCTGTAACAAAACAATAATCTATAGAGCTGCTTGTTTTCTAGGGTAAAGGGTACGAGGCAGCGCGCAGGGGAGGTAATCAAGGTCAAGTCCTGAGGTTGGATCCTTGAAAAGTACAGCAAAATTACCTTTAATAATAGCAGTGGCAAATGGCGGAATACCATGAGGTGTCTGTAGACGTCTTGTATAGTGGGTACATCTACATTCTAGTATAGGGCCATACTAAAAAAACAACTTAAAATAAAATTCTAAATAGTTCATACCCTGTCCTGCCATTCGCGGTTTTTGATGCATAGACTGTAAGGCATAGTGGAGAATGTGACAGAGTTGTACAGAGGCACCCAGAAGTTTGGCAGTAACCAGAATATAAAGTCGTCCATCGCTTTACGAAACTTGTATGAAGGACGCGTCACCAAATCTCTCATCTGGAAAGAATAACATTTCATGAAAAAGAAGTAATGTAAAATTAAATGACTAGAAGTTAAGAAGCTGTACTTTATTGTCTTGAATGCCTAAAGATATAAACCTATAGCGTAAAAATAAGATGGAATGCCTATTGCTAATTGCAAAGTTAAATACAAAATACCGCCTCTGTCGATATCCAAAAGCTATTGAACCCCTGTCGTAGTCTGAAACTTAGTCAGGTATCTCGAAAAGTACTTCAAAATAAAGTTACTTGTCACTTTCTCACCTCAATATAATTGTACATGGCCAAGTCGCTGATAGCGAATGTATCTTCCCATCTGGTCTCAGAGAACTCCTTTAGGATCTCAGCAAGATTATCATGGTGTTTCTGGAAGAGCTGATCTAACAACGTGCAGTCTTCAAAGCCAGCGTTCATGCCTTGGCCGTAGAATGGTACTACAGCGTGTGCTGCGTCTCCGATAATAAGAGCCTTATCTTCTACGTGGTAAGGACGACACTGGAATTAAAAGAGACATAAAATTAAACCCTTTGTTCTACGAAGATCAACACACGTATGAAATGTAACATACTCTTTTAATCACTTTTGTTTCAAGTCCTATGGAATGACAATAGACTCATTATTGTTATACATTAAACACCATTCCAGAGTATTATGAGAAACAATTTTTGCGTTTCTAAGAAACAAAACATCTCAAGCTTAAATTACCTTAACAGCAACCAACGGTGACGGTTTTACAGCAAAGAAGTCTTCAACTAGTTTCTTCTTACCAATCAATGGTATTGAGTCTGGGAAGTATTTCTCAAAGAAGGCCAAAAGCTTTTCCTCTGTGTCCAAATTCTTAAACTTATCGAACGGCATGAAGAGTGTGACGGTCCATGAGCAATCTTGATTCGGCAAAGCGATCATCATGAACTCGCCCCTAGGCCAAATGTGGAGGTAGTTAGCTGGCATCAGAAACTGTAAAACACAATCCATCATTTACCACTACAATTTCCCACAAGGACACTCATAAGGTAGCATTCTTAGTAATGCATTAACGATAAAAACCCATCAAAATTCTCATGATCATCATCCATACAGTAAATAAATTGGAGTATCTATTTGAAATATTAAAATAACCGCTTTTTACTACATGCATATGAATAATGAATATACATACGATACACGTACCGAAATAGCATTTATAGAATTTTTGTCTGTGTGTCTGTCTGTATGTCTGTTTGTACTGGCTAATCTCTGGAATGGTTGGACCGATTTTGACGAGGCTTTTAGTGGTAAGTAGCTAATGTACTAAAGAGTAACATAGGCTACTTTTATTTTGGAAAATTGAATCATAAAAAAGGATATGTCCTAAAATTCATATTCTACATGAAGAAAGTTGCGGGCAACAGCTAGTTTTCAATAAAACTGTAAAAGTCACATTAATGAAATACCTTTGAACGTATAAACAAAACAATGAAATCTTTGAAAGGATAATGTATATCTAATTATATTCTGCCACCAAAATGATGATAAATCACTGTAAATACCCTAACATTATCCCTAACGTCATTTATCATTGAAACTTCAAAGGATTTAATTTCCCACGAATTTTAGTTTAAACAAACAGTAACGTGCCTACTAGACGTGTGTAACGTAACAATGAGATCTTACATTTTACTTCTGACTTTAATTACATGCAACAAATTAACCAATTGTGACGAAAACATTTCAAGTCTATATAACTTTAGTACGAATCGAAACTACAGTACAGTGCAATGCATAAATAATATTTTAACAAGATATTTCCCGTGCGGCACACTTGCGACCTTTGTGAACTCTAATGCCAATTTTGATGAACTAATAAGAATTGCGAATAAAGAAAATATCTGCCACAGTATCATTGTAAGGTCATTCGATGACCGGGACTGGTTCATCTGGACAAATGTATACGTGATTACGGCGGAATCAGTATTTAAATTCTGGGCCGGCTTGCTAGACTTAACAAGAGACGTATTCTGGAACCCTAGAGCAAAATTTGTTATTCAAATAGATAATTTGGTTGACGAAGGAGCGATTCGGACAATGTTCAAAATATTTGTGACATACAGAATGTTTAACGTGGTCCTAATAAAACCTCTTGAAGAAGACGCAGTAATCTACACCTATCATCCGTTTGATAACAATGGCTGTGGCAGACGTTTTGAGAAAGCAATTACACTTGGAACTTGCGAGAATTCAGAGGATATCACTAGCTTTTTCCCATATGAGATTCCCGTTGAAATGAAAAATTGCACATTCAAAGTAGTGGCGACTGATGACGTACCGAATTTCATTTCCAGTTCAAGCAATTATACAGTTTATGGCAAATATGTGCCAGGGTTAGAACAGTATGTTCTAGACACTCTAGCGGACCGTGAAAAATTTTCTTTGGATTATGAAGTTTTCGGAGATAACCTTACTTATGGAGTCGTATTACCAAATCGTACAGCTACCGGACTTCTGAAATTCATTGACACTGATAAAGCAGATATAGCGGCTGGAGGATTCATTTTAATGCAGAATAGAGTTGAGTTGTTCGATTACATCTGGGGCTTCAACTATGCAGCTTACTATGTATACACACCAGCTCTGAGCAGTAAGGTATGGCAAAGAGTGTACAGAGAGTTTGGAACAACAACCTGGTCTTTGATTGCTGCCGCTATCATTTTCGTTATAATAGTTGGCGAGATATTAAGAAGAATGATCTTTGATAATACTTTCTCGATTCTCAATTTATGGGGGTACTTTTTTGGGAACGCAGGCAGAGGACTGTCAACACACAGCAAGTTTAGAATGATTATCATTATGTGGGCTTTGTTTACTTTTTATATTAGCAACTTCTACAATGCAGCTTTATTAAGTCTGATCACTGTCCATATACACGAGCGACCACATTCGTTGAGTGTGAGTAATTTGAGAACGTTGCCGTACAAACCCTGCATCAGTGACAACACGAGATTGTTTTATGAGTACGCTTATCATCACACATTGCCTTCGAATAGTATCTACAACTGCAGCTCTACTGATAACGCATTACACTACGTTGCTACCACCAAGAAGTATTACGCCATCGAGATGGACTATAGTTACAAACTCAAGGAGTATCAATACATTAACAGTTTGGGTAAACCAGAGTTGGATTCTTGGATCTTTTCCAATACCCATGTGATCGTCATGTACCTGGTCCGTGGATTTCCATTCATCGAGAAGTTCCAAGATTACGCTCATCGGTTCTATGAAGCTGGTTTGATACAGAAGCATATGACAACGATAAACCTAAGGAGTTTCAGCGTCATTCAACGACGGCCGAAACCGTTCACAATGACTACACTACTAGATCTGAGAGTACATTTCTGCATACTTTTGACTGGTTATGGATTGTCGTTTCTTTGTCTATTATTGGAAATCTGGTATAACTATATTAAAATGGAGAGGAAAGTAAAGAAAACTGTGAAGATTAAGTTCTTACATTAAAGAAGATAGAGATTAAGCGGCACTAGTGTGATAACCTGATAATGCACAACTTTTTCCTATATGAAACCTAATTCAAATTTTTGACACTATCTGAACCTACGTCACCATGAAAAAAGGAGACCTTTCCTTGTCTAATTTAAACTGTCAAACACCAAGCGGTCACCGGTGACCGCGACCTATTGTTCTTTAATTGTGTCTATAAAACCGGTACTCGACGAGTTAATTGGCTAAACACAATCAATCCAAATTATAGAAGGAGGAACGCAAAAACGGACTATCAATAGTCCTCTAACAGCCAGTTTCAATAACCTATCTATCTGTAGATTTGCTTACTAGAGATAGAATTTTGACACATTTTGTATGGAGCTCATGTCAAAATTCTATCTCTAGTTAGCAATTCTACAGATAGATAGGTAATTGAAATTGGACGTACGTAAGCCCCGTAAGGAATCCGCTGACCCCTTTAAAAAAACATAAACTCGAAAATAAATAGTTTCCATACTCACACCGCCATTATCAGCTGGTGGTATACACAGTTCCAAGTATCCATGTTCGATATATTTCTGGCTGAAGTCGAAGAACGGCTGCTTCATCATCGCCTTACGGACTGCTGAGAAGGCGCCGTCAGCCCCGATGATCAAGTCAGCAGTTACGGTGACAGTTTCATTAGTGTCTGTCCTGTAAAGTTAAAAAAACATAAGCATGCTTGATTATATTACATATAGCATGTTATAAATTCATGGTTTTGTATTTGAGTTAATAATTTCGATTGATTTTACTTTTTTAATAATAAAGTAGATTGGGAAAAAATACATTTTGTATGCTTTTTTTGAGGGGGGGAAATCATCGAATGACTTCTCCCGCCTTGAGTTAGGCGAGAGGGAGTGTCAGACTCTTACTGACTAAAAACCACCCCGTTCCTACTCCTGCTTTTCGAGCCGGAGCCCCGGCGGCGGCAACCCGTTGGGCCTTCCGCGACTCACATTTTGTATGCTGTACCGTCCCTTTGAGTACCGTCATTATAGACACAATTAAAGAACAATAGGTTGCGGTCACCGGTGTCCTCGCGGTGTTTGACAGTTTAAATTAAAATAATATTTAACACTGACCCAATTTTCACACGCTTGCTTTTTGCTAAAGATCAAAATGGCGGGTAAACGCTGATTTATTATATTCATCATGTTTATAAACGTTTCTACTTACTTTAAGAATGTTAAAGAGCCTTTCTTTAAATTGGCTTCAATCAGCTTATGATTGAAATACCGCTCCACGTTGCCATACTGTTCTGACTCTGAAAATATATTTTTTCGAAGTGAATCAGAAGATATTATAAGAGAAGACAAAAATATAAACCTATGTATTATTGTAATACATTTGTAGTTAAATACCTACGTAGTTAGATTTACTTGCCTTGTAAAAGTAGTCCATTTAAATAGTTTCTTCCCACTGAATAGATGCTCTGAAATGTTGAAAATAAAATAGTTAACGCATTGCTTTGAATGAAAGGCAAGATGTAGTGGTACTACAATGTATACCTATAACATTAAAAAAGAATAACGAACATTTTATCTCGTTTGTGTTAATATTTAACCTTTCTAACACTAACTAACAAAAATGTGATAAGATAATATGAGTAGCAAAGTTTTTCACATGACAGACACATGCTCGTCGGTTAAGGGTACTTTTAATTTGGCCCTTCTTTAATATATCGCCAATCTGGTCAGTATATGTCCGTCTAGGGCGCCCTCTACCGACGGTCCCATTCATATCCGCTCTGTATACTTATTTCGTTACTCTACTTTCATCCATCCTTTCTACATGTCCAAACCAGCGTAACATTCCCTTTTCAATCCTTGTCACTACATCATCTTTCAATCTACACTTTTCTCTAAAATTTATTCATTCTGTTTTTATAATGAACTATACTTGGGAGATCATTTTCTTAATTGCATGCCAAAAGGCGAAACATAGCGCACTATTATTATGTATGCTTCATCCTGTATGTATTTATTACTTTTGTTTGCAATAAATAACTTTGACTTTGACTGTTCCTCACTAGCCTAGTCAAGAGTCCCTAACTAGTAGAGCTTTTTTCAGTATATTTGCGTGATTAAACCGTTATTTTCACCTAAAATTCTCTTCATTTAGTAAGAACCCCTCATGGGATGAGCAAACAATCATATGTTTTACTCTGATGGTAAGCTATCACACTGACCATAGACAGTGAACACCGCAACAATACCAAAGGGGTCATCAGTCCCAAATGCGCTACCGGCCTTTAAGCAAGGAGCTCTTCGTTCGATTTGTGGAAACGAAAAAGATACCAGTTTATCTATTTTAATGAATTATCAACAACTTAAGTCTATGAGAATTGAGTATTGTATAACATAACAGAACTTGATAACCTACGTCACTTTTATCTAAAAATACAATAACTAACGCAATAGAAACTTGCTCAAAGACAACTGTTGAAAACATATCAACTAAAATGAATTCAAATTCAAGGTTAAAGACAAATTGAGTTTTAAAGAGTAATAAAAGAGTGAGAAATACTTAATGAATTTCTATCAGATTTATACCGTTAACCGACTTTAACAAAAGGAGATTCTCAGTTTGACTGCCTCGTTGGCCGAGTGGTCGCAATTGCGACTGCCGGGTAAGGGGTCTCGGGTTCGATTCCCGGGGCGGGCAAAGTATTACTGGGTTTTAAAAAAAAATCTCGGTAGTAGCACGGAGCCTGGAACTGTGCCCGGTATATGGCAATAGGCTCACCCCCTATTACATGGGACTCATAACATAAATAGTGAAAAGTGGGTGTTACATTGTACAGTGGTATAATGTGCACCTCTGCCTACCCCTTCGAGGATAAAAGGCGTGATGTTATGTATGTTATGTATGTATGTAGATTCTCAGTTTGACCGTACAGTGACAGACTGTATGTATGCGCACGATTATCTAACGATTCCAAAAAAGTGTTTGTTACACTTAGGTCGTTAATTCAACCTCAAAAAGAATTTTAAATGTAGTTTATACAACAATTATTGTGTTATCCATATTAAGGTTATCGTAGGTCTGAACCTACGATAAAGAAAGGTACTGATCCCTTTCCCTTTAAGCTGGTAATGCACCTGTAAATTAGCTGGGATTGTGAGTATACTGAGAAAAGCTTTAAACTAGTTTCGAACCAGAGAGAGACACACACAGAGGTGTTCTTCCTCATGAGCAGCGTGCGCGGTCGCGGCGACGTCGCGCAGCTCACTGAGTGTTGAGCTCGCGGGATTGTGGGTGTCTATGAGCGACACTGATCACTTACCACCAGGTAATTCTGTGAGGTGAGGTTAACGGTTAACCAACCTGCTTAGTGTTAGCATCATAAGGTATGACGTAGGTGGAACCATCTGTTCTATGGATGCGTCTCCCAGTCATTGGGATCCCATGCTCCTTTATCATGTGTGTCTCCAGTCCTACATCCTTCAGAGCTCGTCTTCCACGTACTGATAAAGCCAAGTTTATGGACCTGCCCCTAGCTTGAGGGGTTTTTCTGATATCTAAAAAGAAAATGAAAGTGTTTATTTTATTATTTTTGAGCGGTATTTTACTTGGCAGATAGAACATTAAATACTTCTTCGCTTTTGTATTTTATTGACGGCAACATTCAGGTACTTGGAATACCAACTTGGAAAGAAAAAGAATCTCTAATAGAGAAGAAGTCACTGCTATAACTTATACTTAAGTTTCACATTAACAGCCTATATGTGGTCACTGCTGACCAAAGGCCTTTTCTCACACGGAGAAAGGTTGGAGCTTTAATCACCACGCTTGCTTAATGCAGTGTGGTAGGCGATTTTCAAACTTATAGTAATAAAATTATATTTCTATATTACATATAGTTTGAAAATCGCCATTTCCTCGCCCTGTCGACCATGACAGACACTACTGACTGTTATGGTCGACATGGCTCATGACTCATCGCTCATGACAGACACTACTGTCTAAATAATCCTAACAAGTATATATAACTCGGAAAAAGTCACATTGGATTTCACATAATATTTACACCAAATATTTGCATATTCTCGAAGCCGGTCAATATAGCGTTGATAAGTTTCTTGCATACAAACCATAAAAACAAAATTAAATCACATAATGAGCTTCCTCAATCCACATTCAATAACAAAGCCGTTGACCCTAGATAGCAGCACTTACTGATATAGTCGTAAAGGTGATGACGACACATCGAAGCTTGATTTAAATAAATTGCATGTGGAGCGAAATCTCTTATGAAATCTCAGCAATTATATTATAAAGAAAAAAGAGGAATTAAATAATATACTTTTGATATGGCGATGGACTTGGGGATACCGTTAAAGTTGTGATTAGCCACTGACATAACTAATTACGATTGAGCCACTAGCTCACAGCATATTTAAATAAAAATAATATTCTTTAGTTAGATGAATGACGTCTTTGTAGGTGTAAAACCAATCGAAAAAGATATTCCTAACGATTAAAAATTTATTTCACTGACGACAAATTTAATGTTATGGGTTTAAAAATCAATTTGTACAAATGATGTAGAGCACATAAGAAGGCAAACGAACAATCGTACCACCTAATGGTAAGCAATCGACGCCGCCCATAGTCCTTTATAATATACTGAGCTCTTCATCCAATGAACCATTGCAGTAACAATAAGCTCCTTCCTCATGTTTTATTATGATACTTTGGAGTAAGAGTTATAAGTTAATACCAACCTTCTCGGAACTCGTATAGGCGAACACGATGACCCCGTTTTGCTAGATACAGCGCTTCTAAAGACCCCACCTAGAAAAATAATGAGTAAAACATTAAAGTCAAGTTTAAACTAAATAAATATACAAATTGTACAATAATGTAGCAATGGTTGATTTAATGAAAATGTAAATAAGAATAGTCATCGTAGACTATTAGCGAGAAAATTGAGATTTTATTGTCCTATTAAGATTTCGTTTGAAGTGATAATTATAGCAATTCTATTACGTTGGGAATAGAATAGATAATAGAATAGAGGCGAGAACTAACGGCAAATCAGGTCGCACTTAACTCGATAACCGAAATCATTACATAAATACCCATTAATTTATCACTGGAAATGTTATTAAATAGTATTAAAAACCTTTTAATTATTGTCATCGTAACGTTATAAAGAAATTGTTTCATAAAGTGTCACGAACATAGCTATTGAATCCTGATGATACAAAATAGAAACGTCACTTTGAAATAATGGGCGTCGATTTGTGAAGCGGGCAAAGTGTTACTTGGTTTTTCGATTTTCCAAATCCTTTAAAGCACTGCAAAGATTGGAACTGGGTCCTATTTGTAGCAATAAGATAAATCTGGCTAATACCTAGTGATAGTAATTATCTAATAGTATAGTATCTATGTATTATTAGGAGCAAAAAGGTAATAATTAGAAGATGGTCCTAATTAGTTTCATCATCATGTTAGCCACAAAACGTTTTCATCATCATGTTAGCCATCATGTTAGGGTTATCGGGGCTCCGGCTCGACTTGCAGGAGAAGGAACCGGGTGGTTTTTTAGTCAGTAAGAGTCTGACACTCCCTCCCGCCTCACCCAGGCGGGAGCAGTCAATCGATGATTCTCCCCCCTTAAAAAAAAAGTCACAAAATTTCCATTGATGAACATAGGCCTCCCTCAATGATTTCCACAAAGGCGATTTGTAACTTGGAAGTAACCTGCGTCCAGCAGCTTCCTGCGACTTCTTGCTATCATAGTCATCATCTACTTTCCATAACATAACAGCGATGAGTGTTAACCACATCACTACATAGTATAAATTAAAGTCGCTATCCGCCGTCTGTCTGTCCCTATGTATGCTTAGATCTTTAAAAATACGCAACGGATTTTGATGCGGTTTTTTTTAATAAATAGTGTGATTCTTAAGGAAGGATTCTTTTATACATATGTATAATACATGCATATTGCACCCGTGCGAAGCCGGGGCGTGTCGCTAGTAAATATTAAAGATCTGTCTTTAATATTTCTATCTATGGTGTGTACCTAATATTAGTTTTACAGAGGGGCAATTGTGGCTTCACCGGTTTTGCATAAATTTTTTACTACACACCATATCCCCTTGAAATAACTAACTGTTTATCAGGTGTTTTGTTTCATCAGTCGTTATACTGATAATGATATCTGTTGAGATAGATTTGTTTACCTTTTCTAGTTTTGTACTCGTGGAAACCATCAACCATATCAACGATTTATAGACTACCTACTTTATTCTAACACCTACGGTCTAGATTAGTAATACCTACACTTTTGTGCTATCAGCACAAAATTTATATTTATAGGTTCCATAATAAGATATAGCATCTAGATGCCTAACTGAACCTAAATAAACGAATGTCCCGTTTTGAGTCAAAAAATCAACGGTCACGTTATGTACCTATGAACCACTATCGCCCCTGGGCAAGCAAGTACAGTCAAACAATAGGTCGTATGAGGATTTCATGGTTGTTAAGTGACCATGATTAAATTAATTTCTACAAATTAGTCTCGTTTTTAAAACAATAACGATTATCGATAAAGAACTAGGAGTGCAAAATGGAATCGCTCAAGAAGTATTGTAGGGTTAAAGTAAGGTATTATAGCATTCTGTACCGACTGTTTTTTTAATTTATTTAGAGTCAGCCAACGACTGTTTACACATCATATTTCAACAAATCGATTTACAATATGCATTAGCTAGTGTAACAGTCAATTAAAGGCTAATACATCATACACAAGAGAATAGTTATTAGCCTAAATTTAAATAATTAAATATAAATACAAATTTCCCATAAACAGAATCCTATTTAATGAACTCACAATTGGAAAAATCAACTGTTATACCTAGTTATAGTTCATTTATCTCAAGAGCGCGGGTAAGCCATAGTTGTAGTTGTAATGCGTATAGACACGCACGCTTGTGTGCGTAACTCGCAGCAAGCTCATTCATTGGTATGCCGGCCAAAACTAGGCGTTCCCGAGCGTACGCAAACAAAGACAATGTGCTTGTACATTTACCCACACAAGTATGACGCACCCGCGCTCGTGACATAAACATCTATAGTAATTGAAACGTTTTGGTACGCGTTCGGCGCTCTGATTGGCCAGCTCCAATGAACTAACCAATTAATCAGCGCCGAACACGTACTCGTAAAACAAACTCGTACTAAGGCTTTAAACAACATTTTATAAATGTACGTGTGTATTGCCGAAATACTGAAACGTTATTCAATTTTAAATTTTAAGTCGTGCTTAAATATCGTGCCATCTCTGTCATTTTACAAAGAATTTGTAGTGACAGAACTATAGGTAGGTACTTAAGCGCGACTTAAAATTGAGTAGCGTTTGAGTATTCCGACATAAGATATTTGTATGTACCATAATAGGTACTTATTACCTACTAGCTTCTGCCCGCAACTTCGTACGCGCAATCCCGATATTTCCCGTTATTGATTTTCGGTAAAAAGTGAAAAAAAAGAATTGGGTAAAAAGTATCCTATGTCCGTCTCCTGGTTCTAAGCTACCTCCCCACCAATTTTCATCCAAATCGATTTAGCCATTCTTGAGTTATAAATAGTGTAACTAACACGACTTTCTTTTATATATACCTATAGATTACCAAGGTCCTAAGTACATATGTAAATTAAGTAGAATAACAAAGGTTATTATATCTTTATTGAATATTAAAACGAATGTTATGTTAAGATCAAAGATACGTACGTTTAATTCCTAGATTATGATTTTATCATTGCAAAAGCATTTATTCTATAGATTGTAGGTATTATTATTTAACCTACCTTAAAATGAAAATCTGTATATTGTTGCCTATATCCATTGTCCAGTAAGTTCCTAACAAAATCTGATTAGGAGTCCATTTCAGTCTCTCATTACTAGCTCTGTTTCGTGACAGAACTGGTGATGGTTTATTGCTATGAGCAGGCTCGCCGCTAGCTATTCGAGTGCCCGCGTACAAATACCGATTATGCCGCCCCCACTTTTTGTTGGGTGGGTAAAAAGTTATTAAATGACTGCTGAGGAAGTGGCTTTTACAACGCTTACTAACTAAAAACCACTCCATTCCTTCTAACACATGCTCAAAGCCAGAGCCATATGACAACCTACCCTCCAATAATCCTGGTGGACTCCATCTATGGTGGTCTGATGGCAATTGGACGCCCGCATTTTACGCGGCGCGCCTTACGCTCGGGTCTAGTACTTGTCAGGTGGTGAGCTATCTTAACAAAGAAAAACTCGTAAAATATTTTTTCCAACTGGGATTAAGGGAAATAAATTGAAAAAAACTATGCAGAGCTGTGTGACGGCCGCCTCTCGCTTGTTTGAACGTCGCGGGTCACGTGCGTCTCGCACATGCGTGTGTAACGCACACGGCGAGCCGAACATAGCCGAGCTAGGCTTCGCTCGCGCTTGCGCACTCGTCGCATCTCCGCACGACCAACGTGCGAATCTTCTAGAAAAAGTCAACACGCATATGCGAGACGCACGTGACCCGCGACGTTCAAACAAGCGAGAGGCGGCCGTCACACAGCTCTGCATAGTTTTTTCAATTTATTTCCCTTAATCCCAGTTGGAAAAAATATTTTACGAGTTTTTCTTTGTTAAGATTACAGTGGCGCCCAACGTGGGGCCCGAATCACGAAAATACTACATTGAGTATTACTATGCCAAACACACGAGCTATGCGCGCTGCTAAAGCCGCGCTCGACGCGGACATCCAGCCGAGCGACGTCAGCGACCGCGAAGATTATGACGAGGCTACGGAGCAGAGCCCTGTACGGGCCCCCGAACCTGTCCCCGCGTCTGAACGTACCGGCGCCAACGCTAGAACAACGGACACCGAAATGTTGCTAGCGAACATGATGGAATCATTCGTCAAGATGCAAGCTGAGACCAACAGGTGCCTGGTGGAGACGCTGAGGGCGTTGCCAGCGGCCTGCGGCCCATGGCAATCGCCGCTGCCGGCATCAACACCGACGCTGAACGCTACCACTACAGGATCGTCTGGGAACTTCGCCAAATGTACCGCACGGTTCAACGGAACTTCCCGTGAACCACAGGTGCTGGAAGCATTCATCGACGCTGTTCAAGTGTTTAAGGAGTGCGCGGACGTGAGCGATGATCACGCGCTGCGGGGGCTCCCGATGCTGTTGGAGGGCGACGCCGCCGTGTGGTGGCACGGCGCTCGCAACACCGTCGCTACGTGGAAGGACGCCGTGCTACGACTTCGCGCCATGTATGGTACGCCGAAGCCGGCGTATAAAACTCTACGTGAAGTTTTCAGCCAAGAACATCAACACGAACGTGCTGAAGTATATGTGTGTAGAATTAGGTCTCTATTAGTAAAGTTACCGTACGTAGTGCCAACACCCATGCAAATAGATATAATTTACGGGTTGTTACACCGTCGTGTACGTAAACGTTTACAACGTGACGACATTGTTGACGTAGACGGTTTTATAGAGAAGGTGAGAGCCATCGAAGACGCGATCTCCGAATTATCGTTGAGTACCGAAAATTCTAGTTATACTGCAAAACTTAACGTTCCCGAGACAACAAATGTTTCCCACCCGCAGGCTTCGCGCGATTGCGATAAGAGTGATAAGAGCGAAATCACCACTACCCCGGGTAATTCGAACGAGAACGCGAAAAGGGTTAAACGCGTTCGTTGCACGTTTTGTAAGTTCTACGGTCATACGGTTGACGAGTGTAGGAATCTTAAAAATAAACAAGCCGCAAACACCGACTCCTTAAA